CACTTCGCTAGCAAAGCTGGTGGCGAAATTAGTATTCTAATTGGTCGGAAGCTCGCTTTAGCGGATAGTGAATTATAAGTTTTCCAAGCCACTGCGCATTTCTCATATAAAGAATACTTCCCGGAATATTCATAAACACAGGTGTACAGTCAAAACTAAATATTATGAATAATATTTGTTATGCACCTTTTTTTATAGTCGATATTTATATACATTAAAAAATAAAACATAATAATTTATACAGCTATGTATATACAAATCGATTCACACACTATCCAATTAAACGTCGATGGGATGTAATATTATACTACTTCACCTCTAAACGCGTCCTTTGGGGAAAGCATTCGCCCCTACCCATTTAAATTAGCCTAAACTTAAGGAGCAGTAACGAATGGCACTGTATTGATAAAACGATATATATTAAGAATTATTTTAATTTCGTGTTGAGGTACTTATAAATACTAACAACTTATACATGCATACGAAATACAGATTACAAAACCATAATAATAAGTACCTACGAAAATACAAAATGTTTGCTATTATTTAAAATGTAAATATGTATCTACGTCATACGATAATAATAGTAATAACATTGGCAGAGCGATAACAAACCAGTGGCACCCAGAGTACCAAAATCAAGTAACAAAAGCTCTGGAGAATATATTTATAAAATAAATTATATTTTATAAGTAATCAAATATTTATTTGAACATTTTTAAACCCATTTTATTTAAATGATATCAATATTGCTTGATAATTTCAAATAAATAATAAAAGATTTATTATGTTACAAAAATGAAATATTTTCAATAACAAAATAAATTATCACTTATATGAAAAGAAATGTTATTAATTATTTAAAAACAGTAACTACTGTCTACTAGTTACTACTATTTAACTTGACGATAATATTGTTAATTATTTATAAATCGGAAGATTAAAAAATGACGATATGGCTTTCTAAAATATATATATCGGTATATGTGGTACTAGTGAATCAAATTGTAATTCTTATAAATTTTGCACGTGCAGGTAGTTAGTACTTACCTAAGGCTAATACTTAGTAATTATTTTACATATTATTCTCATAATAAATGTATAATAATAGTATTAATACAATATACAATATTACAAGTTATTAACTTTTAGAACCGTTTTCAACAGAATTTAGATACCAAGTAAATTTGTTTACTTGGAAATAATGATCTTATTGAATAACAATATTATTATTATCAGTCTCCGTAAAAACGTACCTACCTACCTACTTATTTACTTACATTTGAAAATGAAAATTAAATTATACTCCTCTATCTAATTTCAAAAGTTACAGGTATTTTTGTCTGTTAAATGAACGCGGCGTACCTATATTCCTTCTAACTGCATATTTTACTAGAGTATATACAGTTGATAATATTGGGTATCTAGTGGATATGTTTCAAATTAGGCCATGAACTATTAGTTCGTAGTTTAACCTTTAATATCAAAGCACTCACGACATGGTCAATTTAAGTCCGGAAGCATCCAATAATAATCTTTCCTCCCTGTTATAGAATTAGTAGGGGAAATCATACCAACTGTTGTGGGTCAACAATTCAAACGTTATATTATAATTCACTGTGCACTACGTCATGATCAAAATTGAAGTTATTTCTTCTAAAATGTAAATTATTTTTGTTTGTTAAAAATGTCAACATAATTTTAATTATTTAACAGTATTACTTCATATGTAATTTAATCTAAAATATAATTATACAAATACAACACACATACCTAGCTAACTACTAATATGTTTGGAACTATAGTCTGTAGGTATACCGGGTAATCCATTTAACGTAAGACATTCATTATTTCAATAACTGTTTCTTTAAACGTTTTTGAAAATATTTTGTGTTTTACATAATTTTAAATCATTAAAGAAGAACAATTATCAAAATAAAATTATTTTACTATTTTTTATCGTTATCATTTTTTTTTTTTTATTATTCTTTATGCCAAAACAGAATATTTTTTTGGGACAGGCATTTCGATAAATAAAAACCCAATTTTGAATGAGTAGCTTAGAAGTTATAACTTAATAACTAATAAACTACTTATCTGAAATTTTATTTTATGGAACGAAATACTCCAAATAATATTCTACTTAGAAAAATTAAATTAAAAATGTTTATGCTGTCATTCAAAACTGTAGAAAACAAGTACAAATATAATTTTTTCCAAAAATGTTTGCAACACTTAAAATTATTAAAAATAAATAATTTAAAAAACGTTATTGTTTTTAAGAATAAATGAATGTCTTAAATTAAATGGGGAACGCCCATTTTACGCAATACAACAAATTTAAAACATTTCATATACTACCTAGGTACAGTAGTATTCAATGAATTACTTTTTATCGTTGTAATATACTTGAAAAGTCTAAACTTATTAAATACAAAAATAGAGATTAGAATTTATTTAATTATTAATTAGATAAGTAGGTATTTAGTTTTATACTTCAAATACTTAGGGAGTTTTTTATTTACAAATTAAGTTTTCATTTCTTATTTAATAAACAATACATGCAAATACAGAGCAAAATATATTATTTTTGATTACCTATAGTTGTATAGTTGCTTTATGATAATTCTGTACAAATTGTTATTAAGTTATTTTTGATTGATAACATTCAAATATTAAATATTACTAAATAACTCTAAATGTATATACCCAGTTGAGAAGTTATAAATACTTAAGTAGAAATATAATTTCTTTTGTATAAATGTTTTTGATTAATCTTGTATTAAAAACATTGATCAACATACTTTTCTTACTACATTTAGATAATTTAATTAGGACCAAAAAATTATTTTGTACGTGTTATGTTTCGAGTACTTCGATTTCGTTAATAGGATGTATATTAACGACTAACGTTTTTTAAGCTTAAGTCTACTAAACATACCGATTTATTTAACAATATATAGGTAAAGGTGTATACTGTATAGGTAAAAAGACTGAAAGTGCATTGTGCATAGGCTAAAATCAAAAAAATATGCAGCATGTTTACAATTTAAATATTTTTATTTGTTTTTCATTATTAAAACAGGTGTAAAAAAAGAATTTTTAATTATTACCATGAGGCTATGAGTACCTACCTAATTGTAGCGGATATTACGGTATACCAATGGTAACTTGATAATAAACCGGCAATTAAAAATTGTAAGTACTTATGTACTACGTTATTGATTGAACTTACTGATTCCAACTTAAGCAACTTGCTTGATAAACAATAATATGAGTTTTTATTTAAAATAACCTAAACAAAATAAAAGACGTGTTGCTGTGGAAATCCGTGAATCCTTCAACATCGAATCGGTATTCATTTTGGTTAATTTAACAAATGCAAGAGCATAAGTGGATATTATTTATTTAGTAAGAGATCATTTAAAATAATGAACAAATCAGTGACAAAATATAAGTAGGACAATTCCAACATCAACTGGTATATTCTAAAATATATTATTGTTCCTTACTCTCTATTCCTATCACACAACAGTCGAGTGTCAACTACCAAGACCTAACCATACAACGGACAACGACAATTGTTTAGTGGCAATAAAATGTTTTTTTTAAACCAGTTTGTGTGTCGTCATAAAATAAACACTGATATATTAAACTTATCGATGCGGCATTGTAAAAAAATGTAGAAGTCATTATTACAACTGATACCATTGCAACATCATTAAATCTCTTTCGCCCCTTGTTTAAAATTGTAAAGATTAGTTTCATTATCGCTTGTAAATTTCTGTGCGAGCAAAAGTCATCGTTTCTCACTCATTTATATTGGGTTAAAACGTTGAGTTAGAAAATACAATACTACTGCTACTTCCCATAATAACGCGGGACATGACGGACGGTTAAAAACTGTAAATCAGGCGGATGGGAAAGGGCTAGCAGCCGCTCTCCATTGTCCACGTTTTTGTTAATTGGATATGATTAAAACAGCATACGATGTAATATTATACTAAATACGATAATACAAGGAACGTATTTCTTTGTCCTCCAAAGGTTCCGAGTCCGTAGAGCGTAGGCGATATCCCTAGGGTGTCAGTCTAGACTTCGGTCGCCAGGTTTAACACAAACCGTAGAAGAGCGACGACGGAAAACGTCTTGTTCCCGGCGGGCGGCGACAAACGATGTGTTCCCCGATAACAATACCGGCTCACGCCCTCCTCCCCTCCTCGCCAACCACGAAGCGCACAACGGGTGACAAAAACAACCACCAAACAAGCATACCCGCCCAGGGCCCTTCACCATCACGAATTGGCCCATTGTATTGCGCATCAGGTGAAAACGGTACATCACAATGTACCGTAAACATCCTAATTCCTAGGGACTCCCACCGGGCTACGGTAGCCACTACCACCACCACCACCTCCACCACAGGCGGCGACCGGCTCAATAGCCATATTGCACACACGTCGGCCGCGTGGACCCAAAATAGCTAATCACCGTGTCCACAGTCAAGGCTCCGCGGTGCCTGTGCATGAACTTGACCAATAAGGTCGCCCCGCCCTCCCACCGACCTAACAACAGGTGCAGTACTGCGGCGGCGGCGGTTATCTGCCGAACGAGATAAGCATCTATTGGCGCGACACGCCTGGCCACACCGACACCGCACACGAGTACACGACAGCCGATCGCCAAAGGGTGCACCGCACAACGGTCGATGAGAACAAAAACCGATAGCGACGGTGACAGGCAAGCAGACCAAGTCAACGGCGGACAGGCGGCGGCGGAGCGCGCGAATGGCGAGAGAGAGACAAAAAAAAAGAGAAAGTGTTGCGCCGCGCGCCCGCCACGTCTGGGAAAAATGTGACGACCCGGACGTCCGGAGACGTCGCGTTCGTTCGTCACGTACACGTTTTCGACCGAGGAAAACACCCTCGTTCGTCACTTAATACATGTAATACACATGATGACCTTATAGTACAATGAGAATAATATGTAAGCCGTCTTACCAGCTGTATTGCCGTCCGACGAATACGACGGAGGCGAATGCTGCTGCTGTTTGAGCTCGGCCATGGCGTGTGGTTCAGAGTTCGAGTCGTCCCGCGACGGACCGGCAGCCGTCTCGTCATCGCAATCGTTTTCCATTTTAAACGCGATCATTACCACCCGTCGCTCGGCGGCAGATTCGTCGCCACTGCAGCCACCGACTACGACGACACCGCCGCCGCCGCTATCGTTGCTGCTGCTGCCACCGCCGTTCTCGTCGCCGGCCATCGGGCCCGACGTCGCGTACTCCGACAGTTGCGCCGTCATGCTCGCACCGAGGCATTTCCGATGGACGGCCACCACGGCAGCAATGTAGGTCGGTAGGCCATCGTCATTCACTTGCACTTGTTTTTCACGTCGCCTGGCATAGATACATGTATAATATAGGTATTGTTATGAACACTGGCGCGGCGGCACACGACACAGGACGGCAACCGTCCGGGACGACCGCGGAAAAATATAAAAATTTTTTACCTAGAATATATTATCTGCGTACACGTCGACGGCGGACGACAATTTTCTTGTTGTTGTCAATGTACGACCCGACGGCGGAACGGTCTACGACGGTGAACGCGATGGGGTTGCGGCGGACGGATTTACGTATTTATTTTGTTTTTTTCGCACCAGGGGGAGAGATAAAAAAAAAGTGAAAATGAATAATTTCGTTTGCGGATGAAAAAAAAACAACAATAACACCGTATGTCCACTTTGCGTAGAACGCAGGCTTGCCGTCTCGACGATTCTTTTGGAAAGTAGGTCATCCAACAAAAACGGTTTTCGCGGAAAATACCACGGGACTCTATCGGTGTTACCGGGCTCGAAACAAAGGTCAGCGTAAATTTTCAAGCGAATTTTAAGGAAAAACACTGTCCCAAGACAATTGGATAAGACAACAGCCGTCGTTTTCCGGCATCCATCCCGGGATAACGACATCTGTTGTCTGGATGGCACACTAGATTTACAGCTGTTGGTTACACTGCATGGGGCATATCCTTATCAATTGTAGATTTTTTCTAGATATTTATTATTTTCATTTTTCCATAAAAATAAAAGTACCTAATTAGTAATTAGTATTTACTATAGTCGAATGACGATTATTAATAATCAAGTAAATTAATACACAAATATTAATAGTTCTTTTAGCAAATTTATTCTATGCGTATAGTATGGCCGTTTCTGCTACTTTACAGGTAATACACTATATTGTACAGTATGGAATTATCAACATTTAGATGGGCTTTTAACTCAAAAACCTACAAGTTTGATTCTTAAGTAGATATTGTAGTTGTAAAATTGTATTGTTATTGGTAGGTAGGTAGGTGGTTTTAAATGTATTATTATCAAACGAACAAGTTAACAAAAATTAAGCATGAATAAAATTGACTGTAGGAAATTAAATTTTAATTTAATACTATAATTTCATTTTGATCTTGTCCATTTGGCCTACCTATTTTCCAAATAAAAATTTCATCTGTTTAAACCTCATTTTGTTATAGAAAGCAATTGATTTAGTAACCAAAGCAACTGAAGAAGACCGTAACAAAAATTATGAAGAAGCTTTAAAATTATATGAAAGCGGGATTGAATATTTTTTACATGCTTTAAAATGTAAGTATATAAAATTTAATGTATGTTAAATAAATATATCTTTTTAAAGTATTTTTTATTGTCAATGTATAGATGAAACCCAAGGGGAAAAAGCTAAGGATAGCATACGAGGTCGTTGTACACAATATTTAGAAAGAGCTGAAAAGCTAAAAGATTACCTAAAAAATGGAAAAAATAAAAAGAAACCAGTTAAGGCTGGAGAATCAAACTCTAAGTAAGTTTTTAGATAGAACATATTATGAACATAAATATTACATATTATTATTTAAAGAAATGATGACAAGAAAAACGATAGTGATGATGATGGAGACGACCCTGAAGCAAAAAAACTACAAAATAAATTGGAAGGAGCTATTGTTGTCGAGAAGCCTTGTGTGAAATGGTCAGACATTGCTGGCTTAGAAGGAGCAAAAGAAGCCCTTAAAGAAGCTGTCATACTTCCAATTAAATTCCCTCACCTATTTACTGGCAAAAGAATCCCTTGGAAAGGAATACTATTATTCGGGGTAAATATATTCATTATTTTAAGAAATTATAAAATTGATGAGAATGCATTTTAAATGTTTGTCTTAGCCCCCAGGAACTGGTAAATCATATCTAGCAAAAGCAGTTGCGACAGAAGCTAATAATTCCACATTTTTTTCTGTCTCATCTTCTGATCTTGTATCTAAATGGTTAGGGGAATCTGAAAAACTGGTAAAAAATCTTTTTGAATTAGCTAGACAACATAAACCCAGCATTATATTTATTGATGAAGTAGATTCACTTTGTTCATCACGTTCAGATAATGAATCTGAATCGGCTCGACGAATAAAAACTGAGTTTTTAGTACAAATGCAAGGTAATAATTTCATATTTATTTATTTATATTTATCCGTTATCCCTCCTACCTTGAGTCTCAATTCTGTTATTTTGTCTATCGCCCTGATGCCGCGACTATAGCTTGTCACAATTTCTTTATTATTTAGTATTTGGGAAGAGATAACGGATAAGTATCTATAATGTATATGTTTGATTTTTATATTATTGAATGTTGACTTTTTAGGTGTTGGTACTGATAATGAAGGAATTCTTGTGTTGGGTGCCACGAACATACCCTGGGTACTTGATGCTGCTATACGTAGACGTTTTGAGAAGCGTATTTACATACCTTTGCCAGAAGAACATGCTCGATTGATAATGTTGAAACAAAATTTAGGCAACACCTACCATTTACTAACTGAAGCTGACCTTAAGACATTGGCAACTAAAACTGAAGGGTATTTACACTAAAATTTACTTATAGTATGAAATTAAAAATTAAAAATATAAATGCATTATTAATTTAATTAGCTATTCTGGAGCAGATATCAGTATAGTTGTAAGAGATGCATTAATGCAACCAGTACGTAAAGTGCAAACAGCTACACATTTCAAACGAATAGCTGGCCCTAGTCGGGCAGATCCAAATGTTATTGTGAATGACTTGTTAACCCCATGTTCTCCAGGTAGCCCTGGTGCAATTGAAATGTCATTTATGGATGTTCCTAGTGATAAACTACTTGAACCCGCAGTATCAATGGTAAATAGCTGATATATTTTAATATTTCAAATATCTATATGGTATACTGTTATTATTATAGAGTGATATGTTACGATCATTGGCTACATCTAAACCTACAGTGAATGATGATGATATGAAGAAATTGGATAAGTTTACTATGGATTTCGGTCAAGAAGGGTGAGTCAGCTATGAATGTTCAAATAAATGGGATGAAAATGGTTTGATTTTAACCAGTTCTATTTTCCAATGGATCAAGACATGATTTTTTTTTTAAAAATAAAATTATTTTCTCCAACTATGTATCTAATTATAATGTAATCCTTATCATCTATACATATTATTTATAAAATTTTTATTTTTAATATATTGTCTAGATATTATGTAATAATAAATCATTTAATTTTAATTTTTAATCAGTTTTCACAAATACTTTATTGGTGTTTTACACATTTTGGCCATTAAATAATTTATCAATATTTTTGTATAACAGACTAAATAGTCTGCATAACTTATAACATGTGCACAGCATAATCACATCTATAATGGGCTTATATATATGTGTATATCATTTATAAGACAGTACAGCAAAATTCAAAAATGTACAAAACCATCTAAAATTAAAATTACATTGATATAATTATATAAAGAACAAATGGTGCATTTAAGCAGTATCATAATTGAAAGATGTCAAGACTTGTTTAAAATTGAAATTTGAAGCATTTTTTTAACCATTCACCATGACACTAGCAACTATTATACTTGAAGTTCGTTAAAATCTGTACAAATATAAATTTAAATTGATATGTGTATTAGTAAATCATAATATATTTTTATTTCTAATAATTTTAAAGAGCCAAATGTTACAGTCTACAGTTCTATTAACTGTATACTTTAAACAATTTTTAAAAACCCTGATGAATATGTAAAAAAAATTAAAACTGGTAAGTTATAAATTTAAAAATAAACTAATAGGTTCTCTTTATTTTAAAATACTTTTCTAGTTATCTAAGTTGTCTATTATACTCACTACTCAGTAATCCATATTCTTGATGTATGAGTCATTCAATATTCAAAATAGTGGAATTTGTTGAGTCATTCTCTTGGATCTGATATATGTATACATAATTTTTAGCAAGTTTAAGCTTTCAGAAAAAAAATTTGATTAAGCTTATGTTACAGTAATAAATAAAAATAGATAATTAATATTTTATGAAAGACAATTAAGACTTTGTTTTAAAAAGCTTTTATTCTTAATAAAATTAAGTGACACTTTATTTATTTATTCTTTTGATTTGTTGTCATTGAATATGTTATGTTGTAGGCATTCAGTAAAATTGTTCAACTTGAAATAAGCATTTAGTTAAATGTTTTAACTACATGTCCAGGGGGATAGTAAAATTGCATACAAATTAAATTCTTTGACTATTTGCCTAGGCATTTGGTGAAATGCCTGATTTGACTCTATGCCTTACACATAATATGTATCAAGGCCCAGGGTAGCCACCAGCTCACATAAAAAAAAATTTTTATTTTTCATTCTATATAACTATTATTAATTATAAATAATAACATTAAAATTAAAATTCTATAAAAATGAGTGTTTCACATTAAATTTTGAAATAAATTAACATCATGCTGTTGGTGTAGAAATGTGTCTTCCATATCGTTCGCTAGTTGATTATAATCTTGGTAGTCACTGACTCCTAAACCAAAATCATGGTCCAAATAATCGGCAGAAAGTAAAGCTCAGATTTTAACTGTTATAACTTTCAATATGAGAAAATGCTGTTCGATTCAAATTAGTTAATCCAAAATATGAATGTGTCTACTAAATGTATAATAACAAGTTTGAATAAAGAGAGATCAACTTTAAAATTGACCAGCTGATCACTGTCAACGTTTGACCTCCCCTGATATATATGATATAATATATGCTGAAATTCTCAAAAATAAATAGATTGCCTTACTAATATCATATCTCTCAAATCCATAATAGAATATAATATAGTTGCTTTTAAATTATCTTCAATCACTGTTAAGTGAATTTACTATCAAAGTATCAACATTACCAGAGACCTTGCTTACAACTTGTTGGAGCTTTAGAAGAAACCAATAGTATTTGCTACATTTTAAATTTAAATTTATTTTCTCCTAAATTATTATTTAAGTACTTCATATCTACCTACCGTCCCCAGTTTTTAAATTTCTTAATAACCATTGTTCAACTATAAAAATGTATACATTAATCCGATAACTATCAAAAACTTTGAAATAATTAACATTAATTTTTGAAGAAAAAAAAGATATTAATTTCAATAGTGTAAACATTAATCGTTTATAGATATTTTTTATTAGTTTATAGGTTAAGAAAAATCATGACACATTAAAAGACCCTTAACAGGTACAAAATATGAACATCTTTTGAAAAAAAAATATTATTTAAAGACATTTGTCAAGAGCTGAGTGGGCCTTTAATATAATCTAGGGTTTGTGCGCTGTGCACATAGTTATTACAGCACCAGTTTTAGATCCCTATGTTGGCTTTTTAACAATATTATAATTTCTATACAATTTATAAGTGTTTTTAAGCTTACTGCTCTTAACTTACATAAAAATAAAAATATAAAATAGCCAATGTAGGAACACAGGTAATATTAATAATAAGTAAATTTGCTCTAATATTAAAAGTAACAGCACAGAGTTGGTTCTGCCCAACTATAAATTTGCTAAATAATATAGTGCTGAGACATCCTCTTAACCGTATGTCAGTG